ATATATATATATATATATATATATATATATATATATATATATATATATATATAATAAAACTCAGAAACTATATATATATATAGCTTTATATAGTTACCACTTAGATACAAAAATAAATGTAATATATACATATATATACATTTATATATATATATATACATATATATATATATATATATATTATGTAAGAGTGAATGCTAATGTACGGTATGCAGACGGCGGATTTATTTCGACAGGATGTACTAAAATTGTTTTTATTTTAGGCTATCGGTTTTATAAACACAATCAAAATGTGACGTCATGAAAGCTGTTACTAAGATTCATCAATTTTTGATTTGTACAGTTGTATCAAATGACTTTGTGATTTTATACGTCGTAGTGCTTTTACGGTATTTTGTCTGCGTAAATCGATTCATGACGTCAAAAGCATAGCATATGGCTTGATAAAACCAAAATAAACATATGGAGATAAAAATGAAATCCCAATAAAGATTTAACTCAGTTTCATGTATCATGCTTTACTTTGAAATCCCGAAAATGTTTCTGTATTGTCAATGTTCAAATTCCTGTTTTTTAGTAAATCTATTCATGACGTAACACACACGTGCTCGATACAGTCTATGAACAACCGTCATAGATGGTAAAGAATATCATAATTATTCATCTTTACTATCAACTTCAGACGTTGTAACATGAAAACAAAGTTGTTTGTGCACGCATGCATGCATTTTCTTATGTCACGCTGTTATGTTGCAATATTGAATCATATTCAGTTGGGGTGGTGTGGTGTGGGTATGGGGAATATGTCAATTCGTTGGTGTGGAAATTTGTCACTAAGTCAATATTACTCAAGTATAACAATTGATAATAAGAGGACGGGGATAGAGAGGGTTACAGCAAACATAACATCGTGTGCCCCGACCAAGAGAAGCTAGTGCTTGGCCTAATTATATTCTTTTAACCTTGTTATGCAGGTGTTTCTTCTGTGAGTCGCCGCTCAGTGAGTCGGTCCGGTTGTCAAAATTCAACGTATCTGTATATACAAGAGTGTGTTGAAAAATGTCCCACTGGCTATTTTCCAAATGCAGACAGTTTGACTTGCCTACAATGTAGCGCACCCTGTCAAACCTGCACGGGTACTTCAACGAAATGCACAAGTTGTATTGCGCCAAAGTATCTAAAAGGCGACAAGTAAGTTGATCAATAATAAGTTAATTACTTTCTACTCATCGACAAATTGGTCATGATCATTGAAACAAACGTATACAAAATCTGTAGTTCTTGTTATATTGTTGATCATTGCAATGCAGCACTGCGCCTTTCAGTTTTGAATATTATCAGTAGGCCTGTGTATTTATTGCGATTCATTAAGTTGATCTGATCCATGATTACTGTATTAGCAGAAACTGGAGTTGAATGGTTTTATACATAGGCCTACTCGTCAAACAATTTTAGGGTATATCTATAGAATGGGCATCATCATCATTTCGCCGAACAGCAATTTCGCCGAATTCGGTAGAGCAGAGTTACACAATACAGCTGGGCGTTATTTGGTCATTCCCGCCAAAATATACACAAGCATGGAAATACACAAGTAACGACAAGTTTCTCTGGTTGGTTAATACCTCCATGGTTAAACATTGAACAAAGAGAACAATCAGAGAGACGGATATGTGGAATTTGTGGTTGCCTCCTAGTTTTCTATGAGGATATAAAGGCCATTGAAATAACCAATGGTTGAACCAATTATAACCGCTCCCCATATTTTTTTCCCCAAGCAATGTAGTGTAAATATAGGCCTACCTCAAAGAATTTCTTGTAATGGCACAGCCCGTACTTATTCATTATCTTTATGGTTATTCTGAATTCTATGTTGAATGAATAAATGAAACAAATAATTATTATAATTATATAATATATTTTATATACTGTAAATATATATTGTTTCTTCCTTAAAATACAATTATAGTATAGGTCTAAAATTATATTGAAATAAATTATTGTTATTATTTATTATTTACCAACTATTTTTCTTTACAGTTGCGTAAACAATTGTTTTCCGATGTTATCTAAGGGGCCTGCCAGAAGCAGTGTACGACTTGTAGGAGGGGCATCCAATTTCGAGGGTAGGGTTGAAGTGTACCACAACGGGCGCTGGGGTACAGTATGTGATGATGGATGGAATATAGGTAACGCCAATGTCGTCTGTAGAGAGCTACAACTAGGTAAGCAAAACAATCACTTGGTGGTTACAGTGCCTTGCCTTCCAATCCCAGCTTCCTAGGTCCAACTCTGCTCCCTAAGCCTCATAATGAGTTTGTGTAAAGTACTTGTGTGTAATGTTTGTCTTGTGGAAGGGAATGCCACGCCACCTACATGGCAGTAAGGATTAAAGAACGGCTTGATCTCATGTAAGCAGTAAGCACACAGGCCTACGTTTACACGTTAAAATTCTCGGAGGAAGAAAATTGATATTGGTGGATTATACAATATAGAAGTATGTTTATAATAATGTGACGTCATGAATCTTGTTCTTTTTTTTTCTCGCGGCAGGGGACGCGCTTGAAGCTGTGACAGCCGCTGATGTAGGCTTTGCTCCTGCATCCACTAGGACACCGATTATGCTTGACAACGTTAACTGCCAAGGCAAAGAAAGTAAATTAGAATTTTGCGTGCCTACTCTGTCATGGGAGCTTCACAACTGTGGCCATAATGAGGATGCAGGTAATAATCTTTGGTAATAATTAACAAAACTTTAAAATTTGAATAATTTTGCAGTAGTTTTTAGGTAGTGACGTACCGTATCGTTCGCAAATAGGTATCGTTCTAGCACAGTGATAACTGGTCTTCTCTAATGTGGTCCACAGGTGTCCGTTGTTCAGGTCCTGACCGTTCCCGGCTATGTGTGTCGTCATGCGGCGATGGATATTATCGCGTGCCGAACAGTAACCAATGTCAATTATGTTCGGAAGATTGCCGAACGTGTTACAAAGTGGAAACGCATTGCTTAACTTGCTCGCATCCGAGATTTCTTGACGGTAACAAATGCGTCGAAATCTGTCCCGCTGGTTACTATGGCAACCTTGATAGTCGTACTTGTAAACCGTGTAATAGTAATTGTCGCAACTGTGAAAATGGTATAAATAATGATATTTGTACCAGTTGTCACGACGGTATGTTTCTAAGCGACCGAAAGACCTGCATCGAAAGTTGTGCGCCCTACCTTTCCAAGAATATGCCAATTCGCTTAGCAGATGGCAACACACCATTTGAAGGACGTGTGGAGGTAATAACACTTTCTTTTTTTTTACTATTTTTGAATCCGACAATCAATCAATCGATCGATAAAAATCAGTCAATTAATTGATGATTAAATATCGATCAATTCTTTAATCAATCAATTTATCGATTTGATCGATTCATACACCGATTCATCCATCCAATCAAACACATCACGTGGCCAACTCAGAACCTACCTCAATCGCTCATCCGAAAACCCTATCGCCAACTCACCGATCAACCAACCAACCAACCAACCATCTAACCAACCAACCAACCAATCAATCAATTAGTCAATCAAACAATACCTGTTTTAGCTGACCTGAATTATAATTATTAATTGTTTTATATCTTTTCTCCATGTGCATTTTGAATGATAAACTCCACCACGTGTAAATACTATTATTTGTTTACTATTATTTGTTTATGTTTTGATTGGTGCATTGTGGGCCAGGGTGAACGTTTTGTAGGTCAAACGAGCTCTCCATGGTCGAAGACATGCGATGAATATAGTGTGGTGGTTTTTTCTCTTTTGGGATTGAAATTTCCGATTAATTTGCTTATTTTGTTACAGTAAAACTAAGTAGTAACACACAAAAGGCTATGGGAAGCATGATGATAATGCAGCACATAGTGGGATGTTTGACGTTAGAAATTCTAGGGCTAGGCCCAGCCGTGGAATTTTTTTCCTAACAATAGTCACACAGTCTGCTTAGTCTAGGCGTTGCACCAGTCTCCGTAAGTCACTTCGAGAAGAGCTATCCTACTGTGGGGCTACTGTTGGGAGCCAGCGCTTTAGTAGCCTAGAGAACTACCCTTACATAGGCAGTTGATAGCTTATGATGTGCCTATTTATTACGTAATACTCTAATAGTAGTAGAGCCTAGGCTACACCACATTGCTGTTCTGTACATTGGAAGAGTCAGATGAAAACAATTTTTATTTTGTTTGTAAAAATATGGAAATTTTTAGTAGCTGCTATTTTGGGCTGCAGCCATCCAGATGATGTGTTTTCCTTTTACTTGTCGTCCAAAAAGAAACAACCCAGTTCAGATATTTAAAAAAAAATGAATTTCAAACATGTACCAGAGAGTAGGCCTAACAATAATACGCCTTTTTCACGAATCGGTAGACAACTTGAAGTGATGACAAACATTGCGAATCAGCGGTGCGTAACCAACAGAAATAAGATAAGCTTTTGGGCTGATTTTCTGACATCATGTTATTTAAAAAATCATAACTCCATAACGGGGCGTCGTATCCAAAAAGTGTTTCCAGGAAAATGTTCTTAAAAGACCAGTCTACACCACTATATGATGAAAAAAAAAATTGAAAAATTTTTTTGACCTCTAAAATCAAGATTGAAAAAGAAAAGCCTATCTTAGTAGTGTATTAAAATAGGCCAATGCATTACAGTGCAGTAGCATAGGACTTTCGAGTTGTTACTGTTCCAAGTAGTGATAATATACATATTTCTCTTCTTGTAAAACTTTTTTTTTTTATTTGATTTTCATACAAGAGTATTTTTATGAAATATATGATAATCTAGATTATAAACTACTCTTTAGGTTCTATATTATATGGGAGTGAACTTTTAATCAATTGTTGATTTGTTAATTTTTAACACCTTGGTGTTTTTTTTGTGGCACTTTCTACACAGTTTTGTCCACAAAGAAGGGTTTGGTGTTTTTGTTTGAATTGTATACCCACCACGTCTTCCTCTAATTTTACCCAATTTTCTGTGGCTTATGACTTATTACACCTCATTCTTAATCGTCTTTATTCTCTACCCCTTTGTGCATGTATATTGGAATTACAACACAAATAGTTACAAAATGGGGAACAGTAGTCCATCCTCCTTCTGTTGGTAAGTAAATCCCATGAAATTAAAGCGACTGTATCACCAAATCAAAGCATGCACCCACTTTATTGTACTGTATTGCCTTTATTTACACCAAGGTACTATAGTTAATATCCTTGCTTCTCCGTGACACATTCAGCATGTTTATACTTACCAATGCATGAACAATTATTTGAACTTAAAGCCCCATTCCCGGCAAAATTTCACTAAAAACTGACTTTACAGACTATTTCTCATAAAATATTACCATTTTCTGGACGAATTCATCGTTACTAGGCAAATTCAGAGGTTGTAGATCGCATCCACTGGAATTCTCTCACTTTTATGTATACTTTTATACAGTCAACAAAGTGCACCCTCTCTAATGAGATTAGTTTTTGTACTTCGTATCTCGCACAATGCGGTCGTTCGATTAAAGCTGAAATATGTTTGTTTAAGTGTCAAAATCTCAGTCAGAATCAGTTTTTTAACAAATTTGAAATAATTCCTATGAAATATTATATTTCACAAGTGTCAATACTTGCTGTTTTTATGTGTGATAACAGAACCTAAATCGAGGTAAGGCTAGGCCTAGCCTAGCAGCGCTGGATAGGCTAATGTTTTCGGCGCCTACGATATTTCTTCTCACGACCTATCGCAAAATCAAAATGAAAAATTCATCCGCATTTATTTCAGTCTTATTTTTTTCATTCTTAGGAATGTCTAAATTCAGTTAAACTAGCAATTCCGTATTATATTTATAAATCTTTATAACATTATACAAAAATTAGATTTTTCTTAAAAACTGAAATTTTGCCGGGAATGGGGCTTTAAAAGCACATTTTGATTCACTTTTTTTTAAAATCTGAAAATTAAATGTAATTTGAATGTGATAATTATGAGAAATGTTTTACTTTGAAGTATAAAATCCACAAAATACTTCATAAAAAATGATTGGATACTACAGCTGCCCCATGATACGGTGTCAGTGTACAAGAACTTGACTCCAATCTTTAATTACCTGACAAATGAATCTCTAAAATAACACTGTCCGCAATTATTTAATAACATTTTTGCTTTAATAATTATTTAACCAAAAAAAAAAAAAAAAACAATTACTATTTGTTATAGATTCAAACTAAATTTATTTGTTCAGAAGGCAACGTAACAAGATTCTGTAACAATCATAAAATATAGTAAATAAAATGGTCATATAAAAATTCAATTATTAATTTACTTTTTGCAAATAATTTTAATTTAGTAGGTTCACTTCAAGTTCAAGATAGTAGATTGTATTTGATATTTCCCTGACATTTACAACAATTCTAAGTGATATTGTTTACACTATAATAATCTCTTTTTTTTAACATATCAATGAACTGTAGGCCTATACAAATTATTTGGATATACCATAGACTCTAAATTTTAAATAGTAATACAGCGTCTGACTGTTTGACCTTTGCTCGTGCAAACACACTCATACCTTTTGGAGTTATCACATAAGCCCTCAAAATGCTATTCGCCGGTCCATCTTCATTCACATCTTTTTTTATATCACGTTCTGCGCTCATGACTCATATTTTGGCACAGTAATAATTTATTTGTAAACTTGGTAATTTTCTGGTATGAATATCACTTAAAGCATTACTTAAAGCTCTGTCTAGGTTATCAAATTTTCAAAAAAAAAAAACTGTTGTATGCCCATATATAGTCATGATGTGCCCATATATAGTCTTGATGTGCCTATATATGGTCATGATGTGATGTCATCATGACCATATTTAGGCATGTCACAAGTTTTTACCAAATATATTTGGTCTGAACAGGGCTTAAGACAAGCTTTCTTTTTGCTTGTATCACACACAGGATTTTGGTTAAAAAGAATTCTAAATATGCACTCATGGAAGCGCTTTGGTCTCAGCCTATTGACTTTTTTTTTTTGCCAGGAAATCTACAATGTTTAATGTTTGTATTTTGTATAGCTACAAAATATATAAAAAAATATATTTTTAGAAGTGGTTTGCCGCAGTGGGAACGGTTTGGTTTCCCAATCTTGAGGTCGGGGTTTCAATCCCTCGCTGTGCATTTCGCTTGTGTCCTTGAGCAAGGCACTTTATCTACATCGCTTCTCTCCACCCAGGAATATAAATGGGTACCTGGTGGGGTTGCCTGCTACTGCGCTAATTACAGCAGCAACATTTAAGCATGTGGACCCAATGACCAGGGTCAAAAGCACTTCGTATCTGCAAAGAAAGGCGCAGATATAAATAACTGAATATTACATATTATATTATTATTATTAAATGAATTGAATTTTGCTGTGGAATTTCATGTACTTCATTTCAATTTTTATTGAAGTTTTTGTTTTGAGTATACATGTTGAAAATGTACTTGATCAAAGGTGGTATTTTAACTAAAAACATTGCTTATCTCAAAAAAATTCTATTAAACTAATTCATCTCTACTGTGTATGTTTCATTTGTTTTCAATGCAGATATAAAGTAAATAATAGAATTGACCATTTATATTTTTATTATTATCTTCCATAGTGCATCTTGTCATATATTTATTAAAAACATTTAGTAATAAAGATAAACTGTATTAATAACTGTATTAAAAAATTTCATTTATTGCATTTTCTGTTTTATAAATATATAAAAATATTCAACCGCATATTAGTAGCTAATTTACAGTAGTAGAACAATGAAATGGTATTTGAACAGTTTTTAGTAAATGATCCCGATTGAAACAATACTTTTCTGAAGCCAAAAATTATTTTCATGTAAACATTCATTTATTGTGCATTTTAACTAGTAATGCTAATTAGTAATTTTCTTAATGGCTTTTTTAGACTTCACTTTGGTAGTTAATTATGATTGATAGCCGTAAGGTTCCAACTCTTTTTTATGAAACTGATTATTTGGTTTTATGTTAATGGCAGTTATATCCTGTATAATTATTAATAATTATTATTAAAAATATCATTTTTATGCATATGGGCTGATTTATTTATTTTCCAAGTAAATGCCAAAGCCTTGCTGTTTTATGCCATAGATTGATTTTAATTATTAATTAAAATATTACATTGAAAAAAGGTTAAGAAATTAATTGTTCAATCGTCGTCGTCATAATTCAAGCATATGGTTGCTTTTAAACAGTGTATTGCTAAACTATTGTATGAAACCTTTATATTAAATTTTTTCCATCACCACATTAATTGTTGTCATTTTATTTGAAAAATTAAAAGGTCAAATTATGTATGTATTACTGTAAAACTCTGTTTTGTTATTCATATACATTTTAATTATCTTTGCTTTAATTAAATCCATTTTCTTATACACTGTAGTACCTATTAGAAATCACTACTTAATAATTAACCAAAATTCTAAAATTAACTGGTATGCTTTTATTATTCATATCATCATGCTTTTAAAAATTATTTGTTGTTTGTAATTATTGTTAACCCAAATCAAATTTTTGAAAGGACATAACAAAGGATTAAAGAATGAATGAATTGATTAATTGATTTAATTGATATTGACATTGGTGTCACAGAGCTTCTTAATATCATTTATGCTTTTGAATATAAATTTGTTGTTATATTGTAGAACCAAAACTAATTTTTTTAAAGTACAAAGAATTAAGGAATGAATTGATTGATTGATTAATTGATTTAATTATTATTCTCATTTGATTTTGTCACAGAGCTTCTTAATCATATAGATGCCCAATTTGTTTCTTCTGTAGGTGCATCTGGCCAGTGCCTGCAGAACTGTGGGCTAGGATACTACCTGCAGGGAAATATCTTGTGCACTGCATGTGATTCCAACTGTTTAGACTGCTCCCTTGCACCTAGCAAATGTGAACAATGTAAACCAACAACATTCTTAAAGGTTAGTTACACATACTATAGTTTATATGCATCAATAATCCATAGTTTTGTATTACAAAAATAGCAATTAACATCTCATAATGTATTTGCGCATTATATATATTTTGGCAAACAATCAAAATCAAGCACTTTCCAATTTCTATTCATAACACATTATCTTGCCAAATAAATTAAAATTAATATAAAATTAATCAAATCCAATAATATGATTTTTTCACACAGCTTAAAACAATAGACCTTTCAGGGATCTCAATCAAACTTTTGACCAGTCAGAATGTGTTATTTTCTAAGTGGGGAAAAGGAATGCGTGCATGTCCTGCCAAGTTTTAGATTCAACTACTGCTAATTTTAGGATTTTTTACACACTTAAAAAATTTGAAAACCTTCCAGAGTATCAATTAAACTTAACAACTGACCTATTAGAACATGTTATTTAATAATAGGCGGGGCCATATATATGCGCACGTGATACAAACAAGTTAATGTTAATGATTGCACACTCAGCTATGTTTTCTTTGAATGCCTGTCGTTTTGTAGCAACAACATCCAAGGGGTGTGTCTTAGCGGAATGGTCCATTCCCCTTCCATAGCCTAATAAAATGATATTAGATTTAGTTTAGCTTAATATCACATAATTTATTTACAGTAGGTTTGTTTTGAATGGTGATTTATGTTATTATGCAAATGCATACTATAAATATTTTTTGTTTGCATATGTAGTAAACTTCCGGTAACTATTTGATTTAATGATTCTGAGAAAATAATATGCTATTGGTTTGTTGCCTCTATTTACAGAGAAAACTAAACAAAGGCTTTGTTATTCTCAGAATCAAATTTCAACACATGGTATATGCTGAAAATTATATTTACAATACTGTTATTCCTTCATTTCGTTTGGCGGAAAATATGTTGTAAATTTATTGGAAAAAATAAAAAAATTGGTTGGAAAGTTTCTCATGAATCATATTGCATTATTTTTTTTTCTTTACCATACTGTCGAAAAGAATATGGGACAATGTTTTCTGAACTTGCTTGATAGAGATCTTAATTTGTCCTTGATTTTGATCGGATAAAATTGTTAAATCTTTTTGAGATTATGCTTTAGGTTAGGAAGACAGATACTGATGATATTATAAGCCTACGAGGAATATCATCACTGGCATGCTGCCAGAACAAGCAAGATTTGAAGTCCCGGCAACCAGGCAATTTCCATGGTCTGCTGTAGTTAATAAAATGTGTGAGATGTCTTTTTGTCGATCTATGAAGACAAGTCTTAAGTTATATTTACCGTATTGTAATTGAGAGCAGACTACTGTAAAAGTACATTTTACCATACCTCAATGATTTTATAGAAAGACAAATTATAAATGTTTAAGTTGTTTATGCTTCCATGCCTTTAGCCTTTATTTTATTAATACATTTTTGAATACTATATTTTAATATTGTACATTTTTTTCCCCATTTTTTATACTTTATTATTCTTGTTGATTTTTTACTGCTTTTCTTTTATTTATTCATTTTAATATTGATTTTTCTTTCATTGCTCTATGTTAATTTTTTGTACTTGATATTTATCTTCTTTACGCAGAGTGATACACATACCTGTACTATTGATTGTGGGATTGGAATGTTTGGTAATGTCAAGACAGGAACATGTGACAGGTGCGATCTGTCGCAGTGCAGGACCTGCGCCGATGGTCCTCTCAACAACAACTGCACCTCATGTCCAGACACCAAAGTCTTAAAGGTGAGTTATTTTACACCAATAATTCAGAAGTGTTTAAAGTGGCTCTTTCACTAGCTTGAATATTGCAGCATTACAAGACATTAATAATTGTCAGCATACATGCTGGGACATTGCAGAACAAGGAGAGACTGAGCATGCTTACATGCTTACAACAGGGCATATATAATAACAGTAATAATTGTTAAAGGTTATAGTAATAGTTATAGTAATATAGATTAAAGGTTAGCAATAATCACTTACATGACTGTCTTTTAGTGGTTTGATAGTCTGTCATTAAACATTTCAACAGATATACAGGATCTACACTTATCTTCCAATATTCCATCCTCATTTTTTTGGGGCTTTGGATGGTGTAGTAGTAATAAAAAATACAACAATAATCGACATTACTATATTCTGTCCACCTTACCACATAATGCCAACTCAGGTCAGAAAAGAACATAATGAGTTGTCTGTGAAACTTCCTTCCCTGATGCCTACAGCATATATATTTGGTAATTGTCGTTCAAAGTTAAGTGTCTTTCTTTTGTATTACTATCAGACCATGTGATGGCATTCTATTTGTAAACAAATATTTAAACAAAACCTGCATTTTACACAATGTTTCGAAAGTTTTTTTAACCATCTTTAGGTTTTGTGTTACCTGTATATTCTGCTAATTTACTTTTTTTTATTGTAACCGGATGGTTGGTCGTTAAAAATATACATATGATTGTATGATTTCCAATTTTACTATCTGAACAGCTGGTTAAAGTTAGTAGAGATGGAAAGTGCTTGGCATGTACTGATGATGCAATACTCAGCAGTTGTTGTTATTGTACATTTGTCATTCACACTCTCAAAGTCATAACAAACATAATAATTTGAACTTAATTTTTAAAGGATTAAATGTGACAAAAACTATGAATGTTTTGATTTTTGAAGCAGGATAAAGTATCAAGATGATTTAACTTCTTCTTTATTGCAAAACATATACAAAGTATGAAACAACATGATATGACAAGGGGAGCCAAGAAATAGATTGCTCTAATGAAGCTTGGCCCTCTTACCATCCAAATCTTCAGTAAAATCTTGAAAACATAAAAAAGAGATTGACAAAAACACAATTTAAACAAAAAAATTTATGATGATTGAAAGTTGTGTTTATTGCATCAGATAATTTAAATTTTTTTTATTAATTTGTCTTTAACATTTCTTTCATCAGAAATTGTTCTTTTGATATTTTTCATTTTAAAACTGAAATAGCTCTCCTCTATATTTGTCCTAGTAACAAGCTTTTTAAGACTTATGAATATTATTTCGGAAGTAACTGGTAACATAGCTTATCTGACGGACCATGGATTTGCCATGACCTCTGAAAATTGAGGTCGCTCATATCAGGACTTATTCTTACTTGCAGAAACTAGAAAGCACAGTGCTTGCATAATGTTCTTAGAGGTTTGTTACTTAAGCTGTCTCTGTATAATGCCAGGGAAAGCCACAATTTGAATGTGCAGTAGAGATATACATCAATGATTACATTCTTAAACTATTGAACTCGGGAAGTAATAAATTAACGTTATTTTACGCTTGTTTGGGGGTGATTGTAAATCAGCCTAAATTTGACCTTGAACTACTAAATATTTACTAGGAAAATCTTTAGTTGGAATTCCATCTGTTATCCACTACCCTTAATATTCAAATATTAACTACAAAGAATATCATTATAATTTCAGTTTGTCTGTCTAGACACAATCATCGCAAGTACAGTATAAATTCCTTTAACACTCCAATGTTGCTTGAAAGTACAGTGGGAGTTGGGACTTTTAGGATTTCTCCCGCTTGAAGGTCCAGTGGGGCTTTGTGAGTCTGCTCCAAGGGTTAATATTTTTTTAGTAGATATTTTTTTTTTAGTAGATAGGTTGTATGCACATGTATATAATTTAATCTGCAAACTGCTGTCTGTTTCCAATTTGTCATTAAAAACGCTGTCAAGTTTTTTTGTAACAAAGCATGTAATTTGCCTGTACAGTATGTGTTTTATTCTGGATACTCGCATTACATCAGAGTTACCCATTGTAGGCACTATCTTGCTAAATTTTTAACAAATTATTTCATGACTAAATAATTTCAAGATAAAATGAATACTATATTTGAAGAAGATAGCACACCTATGGAAGGCCTCATGTAGCTTAAGATAGCTTACAATTTTCCGATTTGTATGAAAAGCGATGCGTTGAATAAATGCAAATGAAGCACGTCTGCCCTTGAATCTTAAGCTGGATAGGTGATTTGCAGACGGTTTTAAAAATTCCCACATGAGTGGAAATGATTGATCATTACTACTACCACTGCTTAATGAGAATAACAGGTAGAAAATAGTAAATATTCATTCATCAGTTTTACTACCATTTCCTATTGAAGTAACTGATAGATTCATATATTATGAAATTTAGATTAAGGCTTACCTGTAATAATATTACTGAAAAATTTATGGTAATTGTATGTTTCACTATCAAGTCTCTCACTTAACTTAACTTATCACTATCCTTCAGGGATCGACTTGTGTGAGTACTTGTGGACCAGATATGTTCCGTCTTAATTCAACGTGTGTGAGTGAATGTGGACCTAGTTTATATGAGAATAGGGCGACCTTTACATGCGACCAATGTGCAGACGAGTGCCTTACCTGTGAGTTCAACCAGCAGGACAGTCTACAATGCAGTTTGTGTAAACCACCCAAGGTAAAAATAGTTTTATATACGAATATATATATTTTATATAGAAATGATAGATAATCTCAGTTTAATTATGCAAACAATATGTTATATTCCTATACATCAGTTAAAATAAATATACGTTTTCCTAAGATCTTTTTAGAATAAATTGAATCACAATTTTTATTGGAATCAATAAATAAAATATTTATTTGAAATGATTGTATTTTTTACACTGGAATGAAATTTATTGATGCTTCTGCCATAGGTTTATCAAAATGCAAATTGCATCGACCAGTGCGACAGCAATTCTTTTGCCAAGATGGTCAATGATACCGACATCCAGAGTACCAATATGATCCGTCTAGCCGGTGGTAAGAACCAGTTGGAGGGACGAGTTGAGGTTCTTCATGACGGCCTGTGGGGAACCGTTTGCAGTGATTACTTTGAAATGACAACCGCTAACGTGGCCTGCACTGAGCTTGGATTAGGTACGTAATGCATGTTTTTATTGTAGTAAACATTAATGATAGTAATAATTATCAAATTTCCATCTATTCAATATAGTAGTGATAATAAAGGTAAGCCAGTTTTGTTTTCATTTTTTGCCTTTTTTTATGCAGTTTTTCATGTTTATGCATTCTTTTATGCATTTTAATGCATGAATGCCTTCTTCAGGTCAGTATTCTTCCAAAAGTGCCCTGAAAATATACTACTTAGTTTGTAATTTTAAATATTTTCTATAGTCATGTTGAGAGATGGTCCAACATCCATTCAATATTGGTTATCATTTTTTCAATGAAATAAATTATCAAAATATTAATCACATTGATATGTATGTATATTGCAAACACGATATATTTTGTTATACTTTCATATTATTGCAAGATATTTCAACTTTATAATTACAACTGGTATATGAACAAATTGGAACGAAAAGTATGGAGTTTAGGGAAAAACGGAATTATGGAACCTGGGGCAATTCCTTACTTCCTCTTTACCTGCGCTAATAAAGAAGATGTTAACAAACCAGAAAAAATCTGAATGGCAGAATTCATAAGCTAATTAGTTACAGTTTTTAAACACTTCATACATTGCTTATACAGAATTCTATTGTTGCAGGTTCTAGGGTTTAACCACAGAATTAATCTTTCTTTTTATCAAGGAAATGCAAATTTGTTAAGTGCTTATTTCAATCCTCCAGGAAATATTTTGGGGATTTTGATTTTACCAAAACCACATCCCTTTGAAGCTAAAAATACTAAACTAAGCCAGTTAGATTTCCTCATATACATTTATTATGATAATATCTACACACTTGGTGTTGATATATTATATTGCCGAGGCTTCCCTTGATATGTACATCTAAGGATAAGATTGTTAATAATGAAATGCATCTAATTTCTAGGAATGTTAAATTATTTTTACACATAATAGATAATAAAAGAAGCTATACTGCCCTGTATCTTCATAGCTCTCTTCCAAAATAGTAATAATATAATAATATCATTATCATTATCAAAATAATTATTCATAAAACTGAATATATTTTCTTAAGAGTGGCAGTTTCTCTTAGATGTTTGCCCAAATTTATTTATTATTGTTCTGAAACTGAATTACTACCGGCAATGAAAAGATTCTTCCTGAATTGGAAATCCCAAACTTAAATCATTGACTCAGAAATGGGATGATTTCCGCGATAGGGATATTTTTTTACCCTAGAGTGAATCATTTTATTGATTTGATTCAATTTATCAGGTTAGGATTTTTATGTTCACTTTGTCAGGACCTGGATTGAATTGGATTTATTCTGTGTAATTCGAGGATAACCCACTAAAGTCTGAAGAAGACTTATTTCCAGTGGGGTCCTTCTGGGGGTGATTGAGCAGTACAACTCTCAAGCCAAGTTTTCCGTCAACTTGTAATAATGAATTTAGCCTACATTAAGTATCAAAGTAAAAATGAATGTATGGTTGAATTCTGTGAGCAGTGGATTACATGAACATGACTAAGATAGCTTCAAATTATGTACTCTGTTGTGAAATTGGAATTCTGCCAATTGTGGAAAAAAATTTCATATGAATTGAAAATTCTTTGTGAATGCCGCACAGAAAGATATACCTCCGAAAATATTTATTACATGGGCGGCAGCTTAGCATTTCTCCAAGGGTTAAATCATGTATTTTATAGTGTTCGTAGCAGACTGGGTATTGAGTAGTCAGTTCAAGGAAAGTTCAGCCTAATTAGAGGCTGATGTTGTTATTTGCCGTCATTCAACCATAAAAACCAAAATCACAAAAATCCTAAATATGGAACAACACCCAGTAATTGCTCACTCACTAGTATAAACTGTAACAATAGATTTAGAAAAAATTATGAATGAACGTGTGTTAAGTACACATGTGTGTGTTTTTTTAATACATCGCCGGGAGGGGGTTGAGGGAGTTGATCCTTTTGTCATGGGAATAAATCCATAGCCATATTATCAATGAATAGTAAATGTATTATATTAGTTTCCCAGTTTCAGTCTCTTGATGAAGTCCCACCGTGTGGACGAAAGGTAGTGCTAATAAATGTTCTATTTAGTCTTAAAAGTGCAGTCATTTCTTATATAGTTCTACAGCAGTGTAATACGGCTACACCTTTTATTCATTATGTATTATTACTGAAAACATATACCAGTATGTTATGGGATTGGAATGGTTGGCATGGACTATAATTTAATATAGAAGAGGTTGCTACACTTTTTTTTTTGTATACATATCATATGCTTGATTTCAGTTTGAAAGTCATTGGTATTTGAAAGTTATGAAAGGATATTGAATGGTATCCAATTTGGTATTCACAAACTCTTTATGGAGATCTTTTCAGCATAATCTGGTCGGAAATTTTATTATTTTTGCTTTCATATTTCATTGCCGAGTTGAAATTGGTTCATTATTAAGTTATTTCTTTCACACACCTATTTCACATGGATGACATTTTCAAGCAGCTCTTGTTACCAAAAATAGTTCATGCCAAACTAAAATATGCAGAACAGTAATCTAGTTTGAGAAAAAATAATCTCAAAATATTAGGTTTTACCCATGTACTTATGCCAAAATTCAGTACATCCTAAATTCTACTAATATGTTGTTGTTGTGTGTTAACTGGGTATTAACAATTAGTACAAAATATAGGATATAATTACTAGATGCAATATATAGATAAAAAAGAAATAATTCAAAAAATAAAAATGAAATGAAAGTGATTTTTTTTTGCTATTGAATTCCTCCAGGCGAGGATGTGGCTTTTCCTTGGTTCATGTTTTCTCTCCAGAATGAATGAATGAATGAAAGAATGAACATTTCTTTAAAACTAGAGGAAAGCATAAGAGGTTAGCTTGCTCCAGGGCTTCATAGGCAAAGACTTGCTGGTAGTTTTTGTTTTATATCTTTTTCTTTTTATTCATTTCTCTCCTGTGTACGATAGTGATAAAATCAATCTTGTCAATCCCTGGCATAATTGTGCTCAACAAAGAGAATGTAATTTTATTGGTATACTAGATGTATATTAAAAGTAAATTTCTGAATCATGAACATAGAGTAGTATTACTTTTTCAGACAAGTATTTCTTTCACGAAAATCAAAATCAAAAGTCAGTGTAGGTGTAGTTCCAATGTTTACATTTGGAATCCACTGTCTGATATCTGTTTGAAATTTTTCTATCCAGGACGTGCTGTGGGAATTATCGCGCTTTCTGAAGATTACATCCAGCCTGGCGTTGGCAACATATGGCTTGACGATGTGATCTGTGCAAGCGGAACTGAGCAACGATTAAGTGATTGCTTCCATAGGGATTGGGGTCTTAACAACTGTAACCACGGAAAAGATGTTGCTATCCGATGCTCTGGTAACTTTTTAATTTAAATTTATCTAAATTATGATATTTATATACATTACAAATGTAAATATGTGGTAGTTCCTCTCTAACTTTATCAACGATGAGTATCTGTTATACAGATTTCTAGTAGATGAAGAAGGGGGAAAAAACTAGAACAGTTTTGAAAAATAATACTTTCTGTAAATTATAAATATAAAATATTGTGATACCACTGTTGCCATCTGTCTGTTACATGTGTCAATATGATAAGTATTTACCAGCAATCAATAATATGGGGTAGAGCTTATATTGTATTAATCGATAAATGCCAATACACACCACTGCAAAATAATCAATAGACATATCTAGTTTTGTAGGTTTTGCAAACAGTTCACTCACATTTTCAAATAGATTTTGGATCTCATCCAAAACACATACATTGGAAAGCAGTCTGACTTAAAATATATTGAAACTTTTATTTTGGAAATATGTCCATATTAATGATAAAAAATAAAAATAAATATTAATTTTTAAAATACTAATAATACTGTATGCATGTATATAGCTATTTTGATAACTTGCAGTATACATGACTATTGCATCATCAATTTTCTAATACTGTATTTCCACAAACCATCCAATATTATATAAAAAATGGCTTTGAAACCATGCACTATTTCATCATCTTTTAGTGCCATTCAAGCGTGATATTCCCTTTCAAAGTAGTTTGAACGTAAATACTGAACTGCGTCATATCAAATCCTCTTTTGTTTATAAACAAAAAGTCTTGGTGGAGTCCAATTCCTGTCATTAATCATTCCGTTACCAGGTTTTAATAATCCTTGTTAAGATCTTCAAAAATTACAAGCTTTGTGTTTGTTATTTTGTGGGAAAATTATTTGTCTCTTAAGTACTGTATGAAGGCAGCAATCACTGTAATTTTATTGATAGAAAAATATTTTGCTTTCCTGTTCAGTATTATTATTATTATTTATTATGATTATGTTTATGATTATGATAATCATTATCACTTCATAATTAGTACTTTTATAAATATCATTGTTATTATTATTGAAGCCATTGCATTACCAGGGATGTACAAGTTTTCTTAATTATAATAAATAACTCATTTGTATTGTCATAATTTATCTTTAATAATATCATTATTTTAACTTTTAATACCTTTTAATCATTTAATATCATACCACATTCTGAATAATATTAACATTATTAATTTTATTTTTGTTTAATAATTCTTCATTGATACCCTTACATTTATTGAAACCTTAAAAGACCAAATTTATAACGTGACCCTTGAGGCACAGGAAATCCACTCAAGCCCTCTTTAAACTAATCCACCTCATTTTAATCATTTATTACAAGCTGAAGTGCATCAATGTATAAGATGCTGAAGAATACTTGCATATTTATTGCATTTATCAACTGAGCTATTGTATGTAGTCATTTAAAAAAGCCACATGTGGCAGAACGTATGGTAACATCACAATGATCATTCATTGTTCCCCGTATTAATCATATCAGCTAACTGCATTAGTCCTTGATCTTCTGTTTCGCAGGTCCGGGTGTCAGAACATGCATCGATACTTGCCCTGTTGGTTTCTATGGTAACGTCACCACACGTGAATGCATAGAGTGTCATGACCATTGTGACGTGTGTTCCGGGACGGCCAACAGCTACGTGTGTGGGCAGTGTGCTCCTGGGTACTTGCTGAAGGGGAGTGAGTGCGTGAGTGATTGCGGCCATGGCTTCCATACTACTAGTGGTACATGTGAAGAATGTGACTCATCCTGTGCCACATGCAAGGACAATCCTACTACATGTACCAGTTGTGTTGAGCCACTTTATTTGCAAGGTAAATTGCCTTTTATTTATTTTATTCATTAAACATATCCTATTTTGATTTTAGTCTTATACCAGATTTGCACAAGAAAAAATGTGAATCCAGTATTAGAGATCGTAGTTGTTCTTGTTTGTACCATGTAACCTGCCCCTTTCTATTTTGCCAGACAGTTTGTTTCTGAACAGCACCCTCTTTGTTCAATTTGGTCTGCTTCAATAAAGTGTACTGTATTTTCTTATTTTCCAGGAGAATCTTGCATAGCAACTTGTGATGGGTACAGACTAGTCCAATCACAGAAGGTGCGTTTAGTGGGAGGTGTTTCCCCCACTGAGGGACGAGTTGAAGTCTTCTATCAAGGTTCTTTTGGAACAATTTGTGATGACAATTGGGATTTGAGGGATGGCGACGTGATTTGTGCTGAACTAGGTCTTGGACGTGCTGTTCAGGTTTACCCTCAAGCAAGGTGAGGTTTAACAACTTTACAGTATTTGATAGAATCTTTATCATAAAGTATTATAGTAATTGTAATTTCCTAAACAGCATTCTCAGAAATATTGTAACAATTAGTTAATGGGTCTTTCAGCTAAGCCTTGCCACTTAGATACTATGGCTCAGGTTGTACGAAATGACCACGTAAACCTATGTGAACTCTTGTGTTTGTGGGCTAAGCAAGTATCCCAGGCCCTGCTCCCATTCGTCAGTTGTTAAGTTTGATTGACTTGTGAAAAGATACATCATTTGATAGTCTCAAGGTATTACAATTTAAAAAATAAAAATTTCTTATAGCTATGGAGAAGGTGTGGGCAGTATCCACATGGATGAAGTTGGATGCTTGGGAAACGAGACTACAATATTCAACTGTCCTCATGCTGGCTGGATGTCTTCCGATTGTCGTCATCACGAAGATGCTGGTATGACTTAAACACTATTGAAATTGACATTTTTTAAAGCTACAAGTCATCCTGCAACAGTATTATCTTTCCCCTTGATCTTGTTGAAGTTTATTTGACCATCTTCAATTTCCTTTTTCCAGTTGGAAACATAAATGTAGAAATAAAAGCAGGCACAAAATGGCCCACTTTCACAGTTATTTTGTTTGAATAAGATATAAGATTTCAGACATACATGATAAAACTATAGGCTGTCATTCACACAGTAAATTTTTGTTTAGTCATTCAGTAAAACTATTGTTTTCTTTCTCCTGATAGGTGTTCGATGCTCAGGGCCCGACATTTCCAGGGTATGCATAAGTCGTGAGGAGTGCTCTCAGGGCTACTTTATCAACACCACTGCCAGCACATGCGGTAAATGCTCGCATAAATGTGCAGATTGTGAGGGTAATCCTGATCGTTGTACAGTGTGTGATGCTGGTCTGTTTATAACACCAGAATATGAATGTGTTCCGCTGTGTCCAGAAGGTTTCTATGGTGATACTGACTCGAGATGCAAGCCATGCAGGTTGGTACTTATGAATATTTATAATTAGAATAAATATTCATGAATTAATCTTTTTTAGTCTTGAAATATTTATTTGGAATTTATATCAAAGTGGTTTTTAACCCTTATGATGAGAAAAATAAAATCTAACAGTGATATTATTTCATGAGGATAATTATAGACTATAATATGAAGTCATTTGTCTCTTCACCTCTCTGAATTTACAACAGGTCCAACAATAATTTGATTGGTTAAATTTTTGCAACTCTATGCTAATGAGCAAAGTGGATATAAACTTATCACAATCTGTCGGACAGGAAGCACATCAGCAATTGTGCAGACACACTTCTCCACACTCCTTTTTTTTCTTCTCTTTCTTATACGCTTATAGCTAAGTTACAATGCAATTCTGCTTCATTAGGGGTTGACTTTATTATCTAAATTAGCTTTGAAAATGTCTTAACTGTTCTAGTTTGTATACATCTAACAGATAATATTTGAAAAATAAGTAATTAAAAAAAAAAAATTGGTAATTAAAAAAAATAATTAGTAATTTAGTTTCTTCAGTAACATTGCTTAAAGCTCTGTCCACACTATTAAATTTTCTTTGACAAAAAAACTGTTGTATGCCCATATATAGTCATGATGTGCCTATATGTGGTCATGATGTGCCTATATATGGTCATGATGTGATGTCATCATGACCATATTTAGGCATGTCACATGTTTTTGTTAAATAAAATTTGACAGTCTAGACAGGGCTTAAGATGTATTACTTTGTCTTGGTCTCACACATCTGTTCTTCCTTCAGCTCTGAATGCAAAGACTGTGTTGACAAAGCAACCAAGTGTATACAGTGCAGGGAATCTTTTTATCTCAGTGAACTAAACACTTGCTTATCAAATTGTGGGTCAGGATACATCAAACGTGGCAATGAGAACGTCCGATTGGTGGGTGGATCTACACCCCTTCAGGGTAGGGTTGAGGTATGTACAGTTCTATTCATTTGTCCAGGCAAAAAATTAGTTATGATGAAGCATCAGTCAACCACAGGCTTTTTTAAACTGGCCCCTTTACGATATTTGATTTGAATAAGAAGTATATATATACATGAATTATACAACAGAAATTTATAAAAATAGATACTTTGTAAATGACTATCGATATTTTATCAATAACATTAATTTTAGAGCCTTGTCAAATTAATCTGTTCTTTACATGTGAATTTTGTTTGCTAACAATTTGTAAATTGCTTTTATCATTTAAGCATGGAATAAATTTATTATACATTATTAGTTCATTATGGATTTCCTCTTCACTTACTGTTGCTTAATTGTGGGTTTAGAGTTACCATAAGGTATTTCGCAGCCCCATAAATAATTCTACTTTTTTGTTTGAATACAACTACTGTAGGTTCGACATAATGGTGTTTGGGGCACAATCTGCGACGATTCCTGGGACATGGATGATGCAAATGTAGTATGCCGTCAACTTTCGTTTGGTCAGGCCTCCGGGGCCTATCGTGCTGCTTTCTATGGATCCGGGGTTGGACCAATCCTCCTGGATGATGTCAATTGTCAAGGGACAGAGCGAGATGTGTTGTCATGTAAGCACCATGCTGAAGGAGTGGGAGTCCATGACTGTGAGCATAGTGAAGATGCTGGAGTTCAGTGTACAGGCCCAGATACCTCACAGAAATGTGTTTCTGACTGTGGAATAGGGTAAGTGAAACAAGTAATGAATATTCAGACAATGACTTCCCTGTTCAGTCCGTATGGGTTGCAAGAGTACCAGCATTAAACCTTTTTGTTAAATCATTATAAAGGTTGACCAGGTCAAAATAATAGTAGTATTAAATGATTGAAATTCACATTTGAATTGAGAATCAAACCTGGTTTATTACCACTAAATAAATAATCTCTGAATGACTACAAATGGATTAGATTCTAACTTAACTGGTACTGCGGGCATAATAAAATTATAATACTACAAGAAATTTCTAAAAGTATGAAGGTATAAAAAATATCTAAATTCTTATAAATATCAGATAATTTTGTTATATTTTCAGATATTTTCCTGACATGAACAATGTATGTCAACATTGCAGCGGTACCTGTGAATCATGCGCAGATGTTTCTGACACCTGTACTTCTTGTGCCTCTCCATACTACCTCGTTAGTAGTTCATGTGTTGTACTGTGCCCAGAAGGTCATTATGGTGACACAAATCAAAGGCTTTGTAAACCCTGTAATGAACGTTGCACTGCTTGTTTCAATGCTGATAATAATGCTGTCTGCAAAGCTTGCAAGCCAGGCTATAAATTGGAAGGTATTACTATCTTATTTATACAATTTACCTTAATAATATCGGAGCATAGTGATGAAATGATATAACAAATTATGATTATGAACATATACAGATAAGGGTGATTTATATTATTCATTATCCTTATCCTCTAGGCTCCTCATGTGTAGAAAATTGTCAAAATGGTGACACTTTAGAATCATTCCTACCTGAAAGAGCAACCCCAAGCAAGGTTCGGCTGGTTGGGGGTGCTACCTCCCTGTCAGGGCGAGTGGAGGTGTTTCGTAACAACGTGTGGGGAACAGTTTGCCAAAAAACTTGGGATTCAATCAATGCTGAGGTAAGTATTTCTGTTGGCGTAGAGATATTTTGAATCAGCTCAGGTACTTTATATATTTTTAGAGTGTGGTTGAACTATGCAAGTTACGAGGATCAATAGTTATACCCCTGCTAAAAACCCCTTGTTTGTTTCCTTAGGTTGTCTGTCAAGAACTAGGCCTCGGACGGGCAGACAGCTTTAGACCAGACTTCCAAATGCCATCTGAGAATACAGATGTGGTAATGAGTGATGTCCAGTGTCAAGGATTTGAGAAGTCCATTGCCCATTGTCCACACAGTGATGCAAATGGATGTATTGGGACTCGTGAAAGTATATTAGGTAAGTTTAAGGTCATTTTTACACAAGAATGTTTGATTTGTTCATATTATATATCTGTGTAGCATAAAATGGTTTGTAGTTAATATTAGCAATTGTTAGGTTACTAATGTGTTGATAGTGTATTAACACGTTTGGTGCCAGCGACGAGTATAATCGCCCACAGGGTGTTGCTGAGGGCGCCAGGAACGAGTATACTCGTCAAAATCGGGGGAACATTCTAGCGTTTATAACTTCTTTATTATACAATGTACGACCACAGAGTCAACAGCTGGTAGTTCAGGGAAGATACACCTAGACGATAACGTACAAATGACATATGTATGCTTGTTGTGTTATGTTGCCGGTAGTACACTTGAGCGGTACAAGTGGGGGCGCCCTTTGAACATATACCAACCCATGCAAAAAGAGGACGAGATAACTCTCACTTGGCATAGTCAGTAAAAAGTTCTATCACAGTGCCATCGACGAGTATACTCGCCCCTAATATTTTCCCCCCAATTTATTAGACACATTATTTTGATGATATATGACTAGATAAAATTTCAAAAAAGTATGTTTGTACATGTAAACTTGTTTTGGCACACGGGAAGGAACCGTACAAAAAGGTCTGGCAGTCAACGTGTTAATAATTTACATCATTCATTTAATAATGTAAAATGTAAGACTTGTTTTTGATCTATAGTGTTCTCAAGTAAACTTCATGTACATTCCTATAGTTTGAATCATCAAATAGTCAATAATTACATATTGAATCCAGATAAATTTGTTCAGTGATATAAGAATAGAAATGCCTCATAATGCAAACCTGCTATTCAATACTTTAAGTTTTATTTTTGTTATTCAGTTTTTTCATGAACGTTGTGTTTTTTCCTATGCAGCAATAAAGTGTGATGGTACACGCTATGTACAGCCTCAGCAGAATATCTGCCGTAAATCCAACAACATGGCTTGCCACCCTACCACCTGCTTCCAAGGTGTAGAATGTGTCAATACCACACAGTCCTCATCAGTTTGTGGTCCTTGTCCAGAGGGCGCTGTAGGTGATGGTGTTAATTGCAAAGGTATGATAAAGCTTTACCTGACATATTGTCATAAAGGTATAAATGGTGGTTTTCATTGATATTATTTATATTAATGAAGTGTATTTCCATTATAAAGGATAAAAAAAAAGTTAGGTAGTTGTAGCTTAGAGGTTAAACTGTCAGTAGATATATGGATTTGTTGTTTGACTCTTTATTTAGTATAAAATCATTCATTTAAAAAAAACTCACACAACTCACTTTTGTAAGTCTTAAATCTCTTTCCTGATTCTCACAACTGTTGATTCCTAACTCTCATAACTCTCTTCCTAACAATCACAACTCCTGTTTGTAACCCACACAACTTTCTAGTAACCTTTAAATTTCTTTCATAGCCATCACAACTTCTTATTCTTAACAACATATACTATAAACTTATCTGTGATTTGAATCCTGTTTCACTGTCACTTATAATGAAAATTTCACTTCTTCACTTTTCCAGCTGTGGGAACAAGTCTTCCTCAGTTTGAAATTTTGCCATCCGACAGGAATGTATCACATGGATTTGGAGTAACCCTACTCTGCCAGTCATCCGGCAATCCTGCCCCCATCATCACTACCGCCAGTTGGCTACATAATGGCAACCCGATCTATGAGGCTGATATACGTTCAGGTCGTATTAGTGTCCGCTCTCTAGGTTCGCTTTACTTCAAGCGCACACATTGGCAGGATACTGGAAACTACACGTGCGTCCTGGAAAACACATTTGGAACGGCTCGTGCGAGTGCTTATCTCATGGTAAAAGGTTAGTGCCATTCCCACTGAGTTCACTTTGTCAATATTAAATCCATCTAATTTATCGCAAAGCCACTGATAAGCATTTAGTATGTACTAAATCACAGACAATGTATTTTGTATTCATTCTTTGCAAAAAGACATTTTATATATAATATTAATAATAATAATAATAATTACCTTTAATTTTTTCCTATCATGACACAGAGAAACCTAGTATAGTTGATGTGAAGCATTCACAGACATTGATAGGTGAAACGGCAATGTTGGGCTGCTTAGCCGCTGGCATTCCTCAGGCCAACTTCACCTGGCAGTTCAACGGCAAGCCTCTGATTGATGATCGCTACCAACACTTTGATTCGAATGGAACGCTGTTTATCAACAATATTCAGGAGGATGACTCCGGAGAGTATCGTTGTATCGCAGAGAATGAGAAAGGGATTGATGCTGCTAGTGTGGAACTATCCGTCTTGAGTAAGTTGTCAGTAACTGTAGTTACCCAAAGTGTACAATTTTTATCAGATGCATGAAAATATTCATATTCTTGCATTGAATAGATATCACAATACAAGGGGAAGTAATTTTAACTTTCATGTTCCAAAGACCAAAGGCAAAATCACTTCTACTTTCTTTTATTCCGGAATCCATGATTGAAACAGCCTGCCAGGTGCAATAAAATAAATTTGTAATTACAACACCTTCAAAATTCGGGTTAAGGAGCATCTCTTGTCATGTCTTCACTCACTAGCCAATTAATAAATTACTAATGTCAAATTTAACTGCATAAGATCTCGGTTTTTGCCTCTGGAATACTTTTTTCTTGCATGTTGATTTTTAATTAATTTTTGATACCATGGTTTTTTTTTGGTTTTTTTTTTGGTGTCGTCTGTTGTGTGTATTTTGGGACCCCTCTGGAAATAAATCTTGTGATGGGATTTAGAGGGTTATCCCAGATATCAACATTGATGACTTGCTTGTTTTCTCATTTTTGTTTCTCTGTATTCTGTTTTCCGGTAATAATTCAAATCAAATCAAAATCAAATAAAGGATAGATAATAGCAGGAGTAATGATAGATGGTCACTTCACATGTGTGAAGCTTCTGGCCATATCGTATTCTTCTACATTCCTGAACACCTAGCATGTGTGGGTTTGTCATACTTTACTGGGTTTTTTAAATGTAATTGTTAATTATCTTTCCTTAGAACCTCCAACAATGAATGCCATCCCAGATAATGTAAGTGTTGAAATTGGCAGTGAAACTCTGATAAACTGCTCAGCAGTAGGCTCACCAAATCCAACGATCTACTGGAAGAAAGATGGTCAAGACATACCATATGGCAGGTTTGAAGTCCTCCTCAATGGAAGTTTAGTGGCGAGGAATATTGAGCGGTCAGACATGGGCGAGTACACATGTATTGCAGTTAATCCAGTAGAAGTGATTATTGAATCTGCACAACTGTTAGTTATAGGTGAGATAAACTTGTTTCATTTTAAGTAGTTAGAGGAATATTTGATTGTGTTTTATTCATTCAATCAATCAATCAATCAATCAATCAATCAACCAATCAATCAATCGTTGTTTGGTTTGCTAATATAATTTACCTTCTGTGTCTTCTCAGGTCCTCCATTCATCACTAAAGCACCAACAAATGGTTCTTATGTAAGTGGGGCCAGGGTGAGCCTAGATTGCCAAGCTATAGGGTCTGGGAAGCTACAATACACCTGGTACAAGAATAACCTAATAATAAGAGGAAGTGATCGTTTTGTTGTTGCCAACAATGTGTTAACCATAGAACCAGCATATCCTAGTGATTCTGGCAAGTTCACTTGTGAAGTTAAGAATGAGAAAGGAGAGGTTTCAGCTGATGCTTACATTTCTGTAACAGGTAAGAAAACATATTTAAGAGAAAGTCATATTTTTATTAATTCATTTACATATTACAATTATTCATTAATTCAAATATTCAGTTATACTTTTTTTTCTCACTCTTTCACTTGATCATTCATCTGTTCTTTCATTAGTTTGATCATATAATATTAAATTACAAAATTTAAATTCATTATTATGTACATTTTTATATACAATCAATTTCATTTGTTTTCTTTTTTTTTTTCCTTTTTTTCATCCATTCAATCATTGTTCATTCAGTTGTTCATTAATCAGTTAATTCCTTCTTTAGTTCATACATTAATTAATGATTTTATTTATTCATTCATTATATGCTTTTTGTTCTCAGTGTCTTACGAATGCTATTTCTGCTAATTGAAAGTTAACCATTGTCTGTTTTTACGTTTCGACAGAAAATTGTATGTTTTTTCATAGAATTCATCATTGGCTAATAACATTTCTGTTTTTCTTTCTTCATAGGTCCAGAGATGACACATGATACTCACTCATCCTCACAGATAATTGTAGCTGCCATTATTTGTGTCATCATTGTTGTCATCATTGTTGTAATTGCTGTATTATGCTTCAAGCGTCACCGTAAGTACAGAAAACCTTTCAACTACAAAAAGCAAGAAAGTCCAAAGAAGAGGAACATTTTTAATAGACGGAGTAGTATGCATTGGGATCCGATGATTCCAGGTGTGTCATTTGCCAACGGAACAGAAGAAGCTGTAATAAAAAATGACGACTCCACAGCATTAGTGCCGGAAGAGGTTGTCAATCAGGCCACTTAAGATCTGAATACAATATCTGTGCTGTTCTGCCTACCGCCACTAGATTATAATATATTAAATTAGAGAGCTTTCGCTATCTCGTTCTGGAACCAGCCTCCGCGTGAATTGCAATTTTTTGTGTATGATGTTTCCCGTTTAGGCCTAGTTTAAATCTATCACATACTTGTAACCTAAGATTCAGCCGCTGGCTCCCTAGCAATGAAAAGGGAATCAGAAATTGAATTTATTTGCTACATTCTATGGCTTCTTATTGTATTGTCTATCAATGAGTATAATAATACCTTCAGAATATCATCATAGTTGAGAGTGCTGCAGAATCAGTCAAATTTGTGAACAGTATGGACTCCATACGGACACAAAAGAAAAAGAGGAAGACCTAACAAGAGATGGAGTGATCTTTTCCAGGAAGAGCTTGGTGCGAACTGGGCAAATCTGGCAAAGAACAGATCAGAATGGAGTTTGAGGAGGCCATCGGCCAGCAGTGGCCTGACAGGCTGATGATGATGATGATGACATTGTCCCAGGCTAGGTTACCATGGGCTAAGCATGTGCCATGTCCATAGCAACAGACTGCTGCCAACAATTCTTGGGGAATGTGAAAACAAGATAGCGAAAGCTTATTTTCTTAAACAAGTATGGTCATGTGGCTATTATTATGATTATCATCATACACACAAGCGTAACCTTTGATTAAACTTAACACTTGAGAGTGAATAATATCTACCAACATTTGTTACAGGAAATGTGCTGAATGCAGGACATGGACACAATTTATACCGAAGCTTATACTTTATTATTTATTTATTCAACAGTATTTCACGAAGGGGCTCTTACAGTAAAGCTGACTCAAAAAGGCCCTCATACAAAAGTAAACATAATTTAATTTTATTAATTATAATTTGGCAACTATTTTTAGTCTGTATTGTTACTTTACGTTGATATAAAAAACTGTGGTCAGTTTTTAGAAACAGTAATTTGTTTTTTTCTACTACCAAAGTAATGTTGATAGAGTGCAATAAGGACATTAATTAAAAGCTAAGCATTTTTTTTCCTTACTGTGTACCTAATTATTCAATCAGGGTTGACAACATGCTGTAAGGATATGGTATGTTTTTGCCTCTTTGGATTCTCTGCCATTTGTTTTACAAGTACAGTATTACCATTTAGTGTGTGCTGAATATTTTATGAAACCATGTACCATCTTAACCATTCATCAGTTTTGATTTGTGTTCCAATGGTGAATATATACAATGGTTTCCTATCACTCTTTGGAACTTACTGCTACCTGTAAGCATCACAAACCCCCTTCCCCCTTCCCCCAACATGTTATCCTATTTGAAATGGAAAAAGAAATTTGTACTAGAGAGACTGTTGTGTAAAATTTTAATCAATTTATATTTGTATTCTAAAGGTAAATGTAATAGCTTCTAATATATGTTAATGGACTGCCACCTTTTGGAACAAACTGCCAACTTCGATCTTTTCTCTCATATGGCTTCTGATTTGACAGTAAAATCTCATCATGAAATGTCAGGAATCTTGTAACCTACTCTTATAGTATTGGCATCCATCTTGTTCTGGGCAATACTCATTGTTAGAAAATTATTATTGTATTTTTTTTTTTTTAAACTTTTTTGTTTACAAAATCGCTTTAATTGGGTTAATTGTTCACTGTGCCTTTGGTAATGTATTTTGAATTGGCGCGTTATAAATTTTTGTATATTATATTATTATTATTATATTCATTATTTTATATTTTCTTATTTTAGATATCTGAATACTGATAACAGAGTAAATAATTTCACTGAAATTTGATTTATGTTTTATGAAATATCTAATTAGATTATCCCAGATAAAATTAGCAAATGTGATGATGAATATTTATTGTTACAATTATTGTAGTATTTTATTCATATTACCATACATTATATTTTTTTGTATTGTAAATCATTTGGTAATTTTGCCTTGATATAGTATATAAGTCTACATAGATTAATGAAATGTTTATCACAAAAGAATATTCACCATTATAAACAATTGAGTTATCTGTTAAGTTGGCTGATATTTTAAGAACTTTCCTGGTTAAAAAAATGAGTTGTTTTTATTCATACATCATTGAGAATTTATAGCTTTTTTGTCCTTTTAAACAGGCAATTCAATGTTTTAATTGTAGTTTTTTTTTTCTTCTTCAAAATTGTAATGTTGTAACTCATGTTTTCTTAAGTTTGATGTTTTTAAACATCAAGTGGGCAATGAAAATCAGCAGAAATATCAATAATTTATTTTTTTAAACAAAATTAAAATGCTTCCAATGAACAATGTTTGTGATATGTTAGTTAAATTGATTTTAAGAGGCGGCTTCCAGAGAACAATGTTTGTGATACATTAAATTGATTGGTTGTTAATTAATGTACCGTATCACACAATGCAATGCAAAGGTCGTATCAATGCAGGCAAGATTTCAAACAGGGTATAAATATGACACATTCAATGCAAATGATTGTATATGCTGATTATTAGAGTCTTCTTGTCCTTGGGATGGGGTAATTTAATCTAATTCTTGAGTTTCTCCCAGCTAATGTTCACGTATTAAGACAGTTGGGGATTGTCTCATGTGCATTTGAAAATGTAAACATTATAACCTTATATTTTATATTTATAGCATTGTGCTAATGGTAAACTGAAATACTGACTTAAAAATAACCCAAGGACAAAAAGAGAGTTGTAAAATTTAACGTTAAATTCATTAATTATATTGAAAAATTAATTGATGTTTTTTTAATCAAAATATGTAAATATTATATAATATATTCTTTTATTTCAAGGAATATGCTGTACATTGATTCATCTAAATAATTACACTTTTATGAATAAATAAGAGTTAGTTTAGTATGTTAGCTGTTGTAATAAGATTACACTATTTTACTACTGCATAATGATCAATAACACAATGTAATATTTTGTGTCACTTGGAAATATTACCTAACTTAACTCCAATTTTTCACTACTGTACAATCAGTTTATACACAGACTGGTTAGTATTGTATTAACGTAAAGGACAATTTTCAACACTTACTAACACCCAGTCCACGCAAATCTGTATGCTTAGTTACTTAGCAGTTCCATATGGCGTGTGTAGTTTTACTGCATTTACTTCTGAAGTCTTATCTTAGAAGATCTGAATGATACCAGTTGCTTCTTTAGAAGTCATGATAATACTTTACCTGAAAGGTTAAATTTTAGTAGATTTGTTGTGTAAGCATAAATTAAAACTATTTTAGGAAATTTTACAACATCAGCAATGCAAGTAATAATGTATATATTCTATTTTTTGTACAAAGGTTAATTTTTATTTATTATCTGACAGAGGCATATCTTGAGAATAGAGGATCATATAGAAGTATTTGAATCCTCATTAGAAATGCACAATTGTTTAAATATATATAAAAGCATGTGTTTGCTATAGAAAAAATAGCACTGTTGACGTATGTAACATAATCTTTAGCATCTTGAATCATGCAGCTGTTAAGAGATTGTTTTTACTGTATATAAAATTCGAAACTGCACATTTATTTGAAGTCATCCAGTATTACATTTGTAATTACTGTACTTTATATTATTAATTATGTTGTTGACTTAATATAGGACGCTATTAAGCTGACTAAAGAAAAGGTTATTTTTGTGTGTTTGATTTCTGCGTATGTGTGACTGTTCTTAATATTCGTGAATAGGGCCTATTTAATGAAAAGTGCAACATTGTTCACTATTCCCACGCACTGTGTCGTACGGCAATCGTATGGCCGTCGACGAATCAATTTCCGGTCTTGTGAGAGCTTGACGACACGGCGCCGTCTGCTGATTATCGATGGCCAGCAGTGTGAGCGAACGGTCGTTAAAAACGATCCGTTGCGCGACTGCCGTCGCGTAATCGCGTCGTCCGTCGACGGTCTGCGCATTGTGACAGGCTTTAAAATAATATGCTAGTACAGTTGTGCAGTTCCACTCGGATTACTGTGTATTTTGGGTCTCTATGAAGTGTCTCAGAATTGCCGAAAATTTAGAAAATATATCGTTCACTTTATTTTCAATATTATTGCCATAGCAATCTGCTCTTACAATCCTGTCGTTTCGGTCGATATGAACTGCCAGAAGTGGATTTGACTTATTTTAGCTCACTGTATATTCAGATATAGGCGCATTATGAAAATACCTTCTTTTCTTTCGAAACCGTGTAGATAGGCCTGTTGAAACAGAATACCATGGAAAGCATTGAAATGGAACCCACAAAAAGAGAAAAAGAAGCCGGCCAAAAATTGGGGAAGTTGAGAAAGAATTAAGTTAAATACAGCTGGAAGCAGTAGTCAACGGAAGTGCTTTCAATCTGCCATTGTTTCCTAGCTTTAATTTGACTAGCCTGCCTATTTTGTTTCCTAGAGCTACTTATTTATCAAAATATAAATAGCCTTGAATTCACAACTAATTTACACTGAATTATTTCATCAAACCGGAGTCAAAATGAGAATAATCCATCAAAGCTAATAACTGCTAATGATATCTTTCAAAAGGGACCTTGCGTTCCTGGTTTGGAAGCTTATAAATTGCAGCACGTCGGCTTCCATTATTTATCTTGATTCTTAAAGTGTGGTTCGCAACACTAAGTAGAGTCTTTGATGATTATCGGAGGGTCAAATTCACAGGTAATATACTTGAAAAGTCGTCAATATATCATTATTTTGAGGGAGTTCGAACATAATTGTTTCTGTGACCCCTCCCATCCCCAATAAAGTGCATAACAATGGTGTACGTACACATGCTACCTCATCACTTAGCGTATGCTTGTAAGGATACTCTCGTGAAAATGACGAAACCTTAACCTGTCTTTTCAATGGTGAAATAATCACAAAAATACTTTTATTCACTTTAGCATAGGCTAACTCTGTAAATCCGTTTTGTGAAGCATTTGACCGCCATTGTACGAAACATATTTTACCTTCAAAATGTCAATATAAATTGTGTTGGTGGATTTTATAGCGAATTCAACTAAGGACATTGTTTATCGTTCAATCATAGTTGTCAAAGCAGGCTTAAATATGAAATGGGAGGCTCTTAATAATGAGCACGATGTGCCATGTTTATAGGATTACCGTAAATATATACAACTTTAACAACTTAGCATGACGTTAAAAGTATTTTAACAAAACTCTTTGATGATTTGCTGTTGAAAAATAACCTTTCTTTTATATCAGTGTTTTACTGTGACATCCACTGAACCAGAATTTGTTATTATATGACTATTACAGGGAATTCTTCTACTTGCCTGTCATTAGATTATTCTATCGATCGTGATGTTATGAAAACCAGGTATCTAATTGCTGGTCCGTAAAAAGCGCATGCGCAACATGTATGAGACAAGTTATTGCGATTGGTAGTTGCTTAGCAGACTCCATCCACTGCGCATCTTCAGCTGCTTGTCCATCGACGCGTTCGTTTGCAAACTATAGGTATGTACAAACCAGAACTTTTCTATTTATTTTTAAAAATAAACTAAGATTTGTAAAACATTTTCATGAGCTAGAATTTGCAACTACAAGTATAGTGTCTATTCCTGAAGATGAACTAATAAAGTTCGAAATATAAAATCAATAATGGCTTGTATCACGACTTTTTTCGGAGTTTGTTTCATACTATCTAGTGTCTATGTACTGTCGGTCTATAAACATTATATTGAAATATGTATATGTACTCTATATATGCGGTATATATATTATATAGAAATGCATATAGGATATAAAGAGGAAAAATTGAAATACTGAAAAGAAATGGTTGCCTGGGAAACAGTAACTTGATCATGGATGAGAATCAACAACAATCAGCAACACAATCTTGGTATATATACTGTCTCTTATACACATCTAGATGTGTATAAGAGACAGATGTATATATATATGTATATATATATATATCCTTAGCCCTTAGTGCATCGCAACAATAATTTACACGAACCACTGCCTTTTTGTTCAGATAGTAACCTGGTTAACACATACAGTGCATGCAGTTAATTGCTTCTAGGTAACCATGTAGACTGCAACTACTACCTGTACAAATATTGTCTGGAATGGTAGATAATTGAGGTTGAAAATTGTCCCAGTCAACACAATAGAGGCCAGTGTCTCATAAACTGGCTCTTCAATTAGCAAACACGGGTTCGAATCTCGACGACAAAGTAACAATTATAGGAACTGTAACATGAGTAGACAATAGTGCAACAACAGTTAGTATCGCATTGCATGTACTAGTCAAACAATATCAATACAATTTCGATGTGTTACTAAGCGTTAGCTCGGTGGTTTAGTGGCTATGACACCAGGCTAGTTCTTTAGGTCGTGGGTTCGTTTCCCACATGAATCACTCGCAATTATCTTTTTCTGAAGTATTTGAAAACGTACTTAGTATTCAGTACGATAATATAAATGTAACCACCAATATTCGTAGGATTTGAACACTGTAGCCCTGAACTTTTAGATGTTCTACAAATTGAACTATGAAGACAAACTGATATACTTCCTCATATATTCCCATTATAGGAAACCATATTATTGTCAAAATAGTGTTAGTATGCAATAAACAGATTGAAGCCTAAGATCATATAATATCAAACTACGTATTATATGAGGTAGCCCATCCAGTGGGACAGGGTAATAAAAATGCTATTATAGTGGTTTACAATATAAGGCTGCATATAGACCTGTTCTTCAGTATGACTAATGTATAAGTGCACTTAATATTTATTTTTTTTATTCAGTAAATAACATTTTTTTTCTATTTCACATAATTAATATATTTTTGCATTAATTAAAATACGAAAGTAAAAAGATAAATATTGAGAGAAGTTGTCCATTAATGATTAGGCCTAATAGCCTTCCTTTATTTCTACACAATAGCGTCTCTGATTTACATCGATTTTACATAACGTTTATAGCCATTTGTATTTTAAATACAATGGACAGCAATTTATTAAGTATACTTTATATCCATCTAAAAATATTAATAAAAAAAAACTCTGTGTTTTTATTATTGATCTATAAATACTAGTAGTTAAATAATACATAATTATAAAGCGTATTGAACCTTGTATTAAGTCATATTGTGTGCGCATGCTCAATAAGACTTCCCGTCAATAATGAACAACGTATTTAATTATTGAAGGCAATGGAAGCTGGCTTTGACCAGAACACAAGTGCTACAACGGCGATTACATTCATCAATATTGTTCGGCAAATGTTTCAGAAAGCATACGGGTTGAAATGTGAGTCCTTGACTATAGTAATTTTACCATGAGTAACATAAATACAGAGGCCTAGATATATTAGGAAAAAAATGACTGTGCCAAGTAGAAAACGCGTTGATAGAATTCTTTGTAAGACTTAAGGACTAAGTTTAAACTTATTCCTCCATTGTAAGACGGACGAACCTCTGAGTTAGGATTCGGAAATATCTTTATTTATTTAATAATTTATTTTTCGTTCAGCTTTAGGCTCTAGGGCCAAGGGCATGCCAAACAGTGAACTTAATTATTATTAAAAAAAAGTCTCGAGTTAGGAAGCCTAGGAAGGGGAGTTGATTTAGACGTGAGAAAATACCCTTTACCATGAGAGGAATTGAACCCAGGACCCTGGGATTAGAAAGCAAGCATCTTAACCACCAGATTATTCAACTTCACTTAACAGTATACCATAAGTGTCTCTGACCCCACATTTTAATGATCTAAGACTGTTTAAATGTAACATCCTCGTGTATTCATCTAGGGTCAGTGGCGTATCTAGAGGAGGATCTAGATGTGTATAAGAGACAGTATGTACTCTATATATGCGGTATATATATTATATAGAAATGCATATAGGATATAAAGAGGAAAAATTGAAATACTGAAAAGAAATGGTTGCCTGCTAAACAGTAACTTGATCATGGATGAGAATCAACAACAATCAGCAACACAATCTTGGTATATATA